CTCACTACTTAGACTTTACCCCATGACTGACAAATCTACCGACTTGATCTAAGGACTTACAGAATCCGGACAGGATCCTGTCAACTTTGGTCTCTAGCCTGGACTTACTCTAAGGCTGTCACTACAGGATCAGCAGGTCCTCTAAAGACTTAGGCGGCCTGTTGTGCAGCCCACAACTCGGATTTTGGGCCTACCGTGCCACACCGAGCAGCCCGCCGGTCAGTACCGGTCCTTGGGAGGGTTCGTGTCCTCTTGGACAGTCGAGTCGTCAGACACAGTCTTTAGCCCTACTCAGCCCCTGTGGGTTTGGTCAACAAGGCCCTATCCTTCATCCGCAGAGTTCCTATCACCTGGACAGAAGAGACTCAATGCAGAAAGAAGAGACAGACAGACTTGACTCAGCAAGTACCACAGGGTGTGTGCACATCCATAGGGAGAGGGGATAGGCTGAAGGCTTGGCGAGATTATACCAGACAGACTTGACTCAGCAAGTACCACACGGTGTGTGCACATCCATAGGGCGAGGGGATAGGCTGAAGGCTTGGCGAGATTATACCGGCTCCAGCTTGGTCAAAGTCGTGGTCAACGGTCTTGGTCAACGCTGCAGTCAACCCCCGGTCAACTCCGGTCAACTCCTGGTCAACCCGGGTCAACTCCGGTCAACGCCCGGTCAACTCTCCCGGTCGGCTATGGCTGCCGGCTTCTCCTTCCTCACCACCCTTCTCCTTCCTTTTCTCTACCCCGCCTCTTTCTTCTTCATCCCGTCTGTCTTCTCTTTTTTTTTTTTTTTTTTTTGTTCGTCTCTCCCTTCACCTCCTCGGCTATGGCTTCGTTCACCTTTCTCGGTCTTCTCCTCTGTCCTCTCTTTCACCCCCTTCGTTACTCTGTGGTCGAGCTCCGCGGCTATGGTCGCCTCTTCACTTCGTGGGACTGCACGGCACAATTCTCAGGTACGTGACAACCAAACTTGTATCGCTCATCTCTCTCTCTCTCTCTCGCCGTAGCGATGTCTTCAACGCAGGTACGTAGTAACCCAATCTTGTCTCGCTCGTCTCTCTCTCTCTCTCTCTCTCTCTCTCTCTCTCTCTCTCTCTCTCTCTCTCTTCGTCGTGGTCTTCTTTGCAGGTGCGAGCGGCAGCTTCTTCAACCTCCAGGTCCGCTATGGCGGACTTTGGCTATGGCGCGTGGCTCTCCCTGCGGCACACGACGGCGCACGTGGAATATCGGGTACCAGCTCTGATACCAATGCAATCAGACTCACTATCTTTCACACTTCACATGTATGCAAACAGGCGCACAGCAAACTGGCGACAACCGCCCGCTCAAAACTCAGAGATATGGCAACCGAAATGCAGCTCAGATACAAGTTCACTTCAGATGGCTATGGCGGCACAGTGCCTGTACAACTCTCTGTTCGCACACTCAGGATCACCCTGGATATCCCACACGCGATACTCTGTACACTCACACACACACGCTGAACTCTATCTGCAGCTATGGCGGCTATGGCCGCTGTTAACCTATCGCTATGGCTAAGCTCCTCCTCTCTCGCCCACTTCGTCCTCGGGCTCACTGCAGACCACCTCGCACAAGTCGCTGTGGCAGCGCTTCCGCATGGCTCACGCAGGGATGAATGAATGTCTGGGCGCTGCCTCTTGATTTATACTTCTGTAGTTCGTCGGTCTGGCCCTTTCCCATGCCCGTAGTGCACACAGTCCCATGTGGTACGACCTTGACCCTTCAGGACTGTAGCAGCTACGACCTTGACCTTTCGGAGGAGCTACAGCTACGACTTCTAGACCTTACTAAGACTCCTACCCGACAGGTCTACAGATCGAACCCCTACTACCTGCGGACCCTACAACAATCTATGAACTGTTACAAATGCACAGGTCACGGGTTCAACTCTCGGGGTCGACACAAATACTGTACACAGGTAAGGTGAGGGCTAGGGACTGAGCCCTGGGATCTGCATCGGCTACTGCGAACAGGTGAATACCGTTTCAGCCCTGTGCCGAATATATATAATGTCGGGCGGTTGTTGATGCTTGACCGCAACTGGGGTTAAGGTGGATTATCACTCAAGCCGCCAGTACACAGCCGCACCTTTGATGAAAATGCAAGTCGTCGTCACAAAAATTTCGGAGGCTGGACCTACTGGAACACAATGGCTGGCGCGACGCCAGCCAAAAAAAAAAGAAAGTGCGCCTCTAGTGGTTCGGAAAAGCTTGGCGCGCAGTAAGGCGCGCCTGTAGCGGTTCGGAAAAGCTTGGCGCGCAGTAAGGCGCACCTGTAGCGGTTCGGAAAAGCTTGGCGCGCAGTAAGGCGCGCACCTCTAGCGGTTGGGGAAAAAAAGCTTGGCGCGCAGTAAGGCGCACCTGTAGCGGTTCGGAAAAGCTTGGCGAGCAGTAAGGCGTGCACCTCTAGCGGTTGGGGAAAAAAAGCTTGGCGCGCAGTAAGGCGCGCAGCTCTAGCGGTTCGGAAAAAAAAGCTTGGCGCGCAGTAAGGCGCGCCTCTAGCGGTTCCGAAAAAAAAGCTTGGCGCACAGCTCTAGCGGTTCGGAAAAAAAAGCTTGGCACGCAGTAAGGCTTGCCTCTAGCGGTTCGGAAAAAAAAGCTTGGCGCGCAGTAAGGCGCGCAGCTCTAGCGGTTCGGAAAAGCTTGGCGCGCAGTAAGGCACGCGCGCCTCCAGGTCCGGGTGTACTTACTGGTGGTTTAAAGTACCATTGGTTAGGGACTCTGCAAACTACCCAAGAGCCGAGCTCAGTGGGGACCACACGCATGAACTGTTGAAAATACAGACCCGTGTTCGAATCCAGATGATGATGGAACCTGTTGATGAGTAAAAGTTGTAAAACCAACTATTTCTATAAAAAAAAAGGGGCTCTGCAGACTGTAGAGGGTTCGGTGAAACTCCGACAGAACAGTCTGTTTGTCTGTCTGTCACAGCCCCTTGTTTGTTGTCCTCTTCTCCCACTCTCCCTGGGTTCGGTGAAACTCCGACAGAACAGTTTGTTGTCTGTCTGAACCCTCTACAGTCTGCAGTTTACCTAAAAGCCCCTCAACTGTCTTTTACCTAAAAGCCCCTCAACTGGCTTTTACCTAAAAGCCCCTCAACTGGCTTGTAAGGCCGATTTACCACTCAAACTTCAAAGTACTAGATAAGTTAGGGGACTCTGCAGACTGTAGAGGGCTCAGCCTCCTGCTGAGTCGGTGAAACTCCAACGAAACAGTCTGTCTGTCACAGCCCCTTCTTTGTTGTCCTGTTCTCCCTCTCTGCCTACTGTTTACCTAGCAGTTCTCTATCACGAAATATACTGTTTGGATTTGGAGGCAGAAATTATGTCTGTCTGAATTCTCTCTTGAGTTTCTTAACCATATCTTTGCTTTTATTCTTGCCATTTGTGCTTGTCTTTCCCCCCC